TGTTATAAATTCCAACCAACGGTACCACTGGCTGTTCGTACACTGAATACTGATTGTTTCCTTGTAAGGAAACGACTAATATTGGTTAAATTACGCGTGCATTTTCTCTAGGGTTCTAAGGAAGATATTTATACGTCGCTTTATATAAAGAAAAAAATCATATGATATGCTTAGGAAAGAGTTTGATTAGTTTATTACGGCTTATCAACCCTTTACAGGTTATTTAAAGCCAGAAAATTTTAGATTATAAGATTTTTTGTAGATAATATTGGTCAAATGATAGAAGTCTTAATAATTAACCCATAGGTGGGAGAGAAGAAGCAGATTTTTATATTTTCTAAGGATATTTGCACGTAAGCGAATATAACGAACCTAACTGGAATTGGAACTCTTCCCACCAATCAACAATTCCAAGCCATTATACATTACACCACCCGAAAATCCAAACTTACAGCATCCGTTATTCCCAAGAGGTTACCCATCAAGGTTCTGACCAGGTTCCACGTTGCTTAACTTCGTTGATCGTATGGGAACTTAGGAAAGGGCGTTAATCTTCTTGGTCATGCTGCTGTGACATTAAATTGCCCTGGGTATATATGCTCACATTGAGATAAATACCTCATTTCATTGGTAGATTAACTGAATGACTGATTGATCATACTTATTATAAAACCCAGGTGGTGTGTGTGTGTGTGTGTGTCTGTACGTTTATATATTGGATCGGATTTCCTACATTTTTAACCGATTTCAACAAAACTTCACAGGACTACGTAAAATTAGATTGCGGTGTTTCTGACAGCACCAAAAATTAGAAAAACACAATTGTTTTTGCACGAAATCAATTTGAAAACACGATTAAGAGGCATCGCTTTCGCGGAATGAAAGGGGGACAACTCATATCGAGTTATACTTATAAAACCCAGGTTGTTTGTGTGTGTGTGTGTGTGTGTTCGTTTATATATGGGATCGAATTTCCTACATTTTTCAACCGATTTCAACAAAACTTCACTTTTTTTGGCAGGTAGTGTTTCTTATTGTCTTGCACACTTTTTTCTTTATTTTTATATTCAGAATGCTTTAAAAATTCCATTTACAAGACAATTGTTTATAATTCTATTCAATCGGTAGTCTCATAACGACTGAAAACAATGTTTTTGTTTGAGTTTGGGTTTGACCAATTCGTAAAAAACAAACAAACAAACAAAAAAGAAAACAAAAAAAAAAACTAATTAAGACATGCGTGTCCGTCAACCTTAAACAATAATCTTTGTCAATTTTATTTTTCAGTTTTTATGATGGTCGATAATTGATCTATCTCTTACTGTTACATCCCCGGGCAACGCCGGGCTCTACTGCTAGTTTATAATGTTTTTATATTATTATATATTTTTATATTTATGTTATATTATATTTATATTATATTATATATTATATATAGTATATATATATATATATTATATATATATTCTATATTATATATATTCTATTATATATTATATTTTATTCTATTCTATTCTATTATATCTATTTTAGATTTATTTCATTTATTATATATTTTATATTTATATAATTATATATTATATATATTTATCTATAATTTATTTTTTTTAAGGTCGAATCAATCGAAACATAATTTGCCATTACACACGAACAAATGAAATAGAACAGGAAGAGGATCAACTCTCGATAGAACATTTTAAATATTTTTGTTTGCCTGGAGTCAAATTCAGCTGTTTTCTGGTAATTCACGTAGTGTAGCGTCGAGAGTGGACTGGGTTAAGTAAACGTGTTAAAACAAGTATCGACCGAAATAGCAAAAATGACGGAAATCCTGCCTTTCTCAACTCGAGGCAATGAATTTTGTTCATAACACCTTTTTACGTAATCTCTGTAAGGTCTCTTTATTAGAGTTCATGTCGTATTTTCACCTTTTTTGTGATCACACACATTTTTACGTTTGCATCTAAACGCTGTGTCAATGTAGGAGGAAATGATGAGGAAACCAAAATGGAAGAAAAAAATAGGGAAACAAGAAAAAAAAAACATTAGAAATCGGTGCAGATTAAAAGCGAGCAACGTTTCCTGCAAACAAAGATGGCGGAATGTTCCAGAGGATTTTACGTGCATGAGTGACGCGTCAAGAATATGGCGTGCATACAAATTGTTGGGTTTCGATTGATTTCCAAAAAAAAAAGTGGGGACAGTAAAAATACGTATCCATTTATAAATCAATCCGTCATTCAGTTAATCTACCAATGAAATGAGGTGTTTATCTTAATGTGTGTACAAAAATCCAAGGCAATTTTATGTCACAATAGCGTGACCAAGAAGATTAACGTCACAGAAATTAAGCAACGTTGAACCTGGTCAGAACCTAGATAGGTAACCGCTTGGGAATAACGGATACTGCAAGTTTGGATTTTCGGATGGTGTGATGTATAATGGCTTGGAATTGTTAATCGGTGTGCTGTGTTCCAATTCCGAATGGGTTCGTTATATTCAGTTACGCGCAACTTACCTTAGAAAATATATAAATCTGCCTCTTCTCTCCCACATATGGGTTAATTATTAAGACTTCTATCACTTGACCATTTCTGGCTTTAAATAACCTGTGAAGGGTTGATAAGCCGTAAAAAAAAACTAATCAAACAATCAAATTCTTTCCTCAGCATATCATATAATTTTTTTCTTTATATAAAACAACGTATAAATAATGTCCTTAGGACCCTAGAGAAAATACATGCGCATTTTAAGCTAAAAATAAAACTTAAAACAACAAATATTCACACACACACACACACACACACACACACACACACACACACACACACACACACACACACACGTGTGTTTGTTTTATTTTTAGCTTAAAATACGCATGTATCTTCTCTGGGGTCCTAGGATATATATATATATATATATATATATATATATATATATATATATATATATATATATATATATATCTAAGTGCATAGGTATGCAGAAAATAGAAAAAGAACACGTTGGGTGCATGATTCCTTAGTATTTTTTGTTTTTATTTTTAAGAAGACAGTGCTCCATACAGAAGTAGAGCTTATATTATAATAATATTTTTTGTTTAAAAATATTTTTTGTTTAAAAATATGATTCCTTCGCTACATAAGAGTTCTCATGTTTCAAAAACGAGAAATATGTAGCGAAGGAATCATATTTTTAAACAAAAAATATCATTATAATATATAATGCCCGGTTTCTCACGTTTCCATGCACATCTATTTTTCTATGGCGGCTCGTGAATCCATGTCGCAGAAGGCTACCCAGTAATATTTGTATTTGTTCAACACTCACAGATCCCAAATATAGTTATACTGTAACTATGCCAATCGGACTAGTTACAGCTTGTGGGAGAAAACACATAATTAATCTGAGTACGCTCAGACCCTCGGTCACGATGACTTTTGACTTCGTGCTTGAACAATTACCGACGGCTTTTCTTTCTTAATCATTTCGCCCCAAACGAGGCAATAAATCCACAACGACGCAAGTGGCTAATACGCATAAAATAGTGAAAGAAAAAGGAAGTCTTTATTAAGGTGAGAAAACAATAAAAGTAGAATAATTAAGATGAAAAAGATAACGATTGATGTTGCCTTTAAATTGGTGAATATTAAAGTTGACTGGAAAGCAAAAGCCTGGAAGATTTGTGAAGAGGTTCACAGGCGAGACGTGCGAGCGAAGCAACTCTTAGCATAGAACATACGATTGCAACTG